CCAACCTTTCGATAGGGCTGTTATGATGTCTGTATAGTATCGCTTGGCGAATTTGCGCAACTCCTCTCGCGATACCGGGGCTGCTGGCGCAATGAAATGGCACCTCTGGGCTGCCGAGAATATGAACCATTGGGAGAGAAAATCGGCTTGAGGAATCGTGTAGCCCGGATGGTGCACTATGTCGTAGTCATAGGCAGCCACTGCAATGTTCCATCGCTGAATCATCACCGCTGTCGGTTTGGAAATCGACCTATATGAACTGAACAGGTATTGCAGCGCTTGGTAATTGGTCACGATGGTGAAATGTAGTGCAAACAGGTATTTGTACAGGTGTTGGACAGCCAAATATACGGCCAACGCTTCTATCTGCACCTGCGAATATCCTCGTTCTGCCGTGTTCAATAAGCGAGAGATGCAGACAATGAGACATCCGTTCTGTTCAAGTACGGCACCAATGCCAACATCTGATGCATCTGTAATCAACGTTGGGTGTTTCGTCGAAAAAAACGAGGCAAGTACTGGTCGTTTTGTTATCATCTGAATGATTTGGAGCATACACTTGGCCGTCCATTTCCATCCTGCGGTCTACTGAGCAGCGAACAGAGTTTGAGCTTTCGTAGCGAATTTCGGAATGAAACATGAATAGTACTGGAGGCATCCCATGATGGACCTCAGTTAGTGTTGGTCTTTCGGTGATTCCAGTTCAGTCAAGGGACGAAAGCGACCAGGATCAGGAAGGTAGCCTTTTGAGTCAACTGTGAAACCAAAAAATTCCAATTCCGAATAGCTGAACATGCATTTGAAGGCCCGAATCGACATTTTCTTTTGAGCGAAACGATCCACTAATTTGGGGAGTCTGTTGTCGTGCTTGGCTTTCGTTGTTCCAAACAGAATAACATCGTCCTGATATGCTAACACACCGTCGAGTCCACGAATGACTTCGTCAATAGCCGCCTGGAATATGCCCAATGAAGTATGTAGACCGAACAGCAAGAAGTTGTATTGATACAGTCCCCGCGGCGTGTTGGTGGTACTGAATTGTCGGCATGCCGGAACGACAGGAATATGAAGATATGCGTCTGCCAAGTCAATTTTTGAAAAACACGTGCTGTCATGGAATGCTTTCATGAAATCTTTCGGTTCGAAGGTGGTGGCGGCACACTTTCTCAACCGAGGGTTCAGAATCAACCGATAGTCACCGCAAATTCGTGGTGTTCTACCGTCGCTTTCGATTGCTACCACAAATGGTGTTGCCCACTCGCTTGACGTGATACCAGTGATGATACTATCGCTCCATTTTCTCGATGGCCTTCAATACACCTTCACGTTGATCATATGGGATTACACGCCGCTTCATGAAAATCGGCTCACCGTCAACTTCCAATTTGGCCGGCTGAACGTTCATGCCTCCAAAATTGCTGGAACACTTCCCGATTAAACGCTACAGATGCGTGTGCACATTAAACGCAATGCTGGTACGAAGTGACACGGAATGGTTCAACACACGAATGGCGGCTAAACCAAGTACAGTTGGACTGCTTTTGGCGATCAAGAAGTGTATGGGAACAAAGCGGTTTTCTGTAGGCTGCATCATCAGTGAAATCTCACCCATCAACGGCAGTTTGTGTCCGGTCACACCGAGGATTCGCACAGAGGTTGGACGGATTTTGGCTTCGGGACTGGTCGATCGAAGCACTTCAGTAGAACTTATAGATTCCATACTTCCTGTGTCCACAAGGAATTTCTGCTTCACGCCAGACTGTAGTTTCACATTTTTGTATGGGAATCGGGCACGCTAATTTTGGTGATCCTAGCCTACGAGATGACGCACGTTACAGTTTTCGAACAACTGTGATCAATCAAGCTTCCCCGGTGGCGTCAGCAAAGCGCGTACGTGTCACAGTTTCTAGACTGCAAACCATAGGTCGATTGTACCAAGCAATCAGAAACCGCGCGGCCCAAACGGAAGCTGAACAACACCAGAAATACTAGCACGCAATTGGCAGAGGCTTGGATGACAATGAACTTGTTTTGTACATATTATTTATTCTATCTGATTTCTTTAAACGAACTACTATTCCTGTGGCCTCCTCCTCGCATCTCAGTTCCGTTGGATACTGCGTGCAAGTACCAGTGTGATCCAGTGCTTACGTTGCGTCCGTGATTGCTAATCCATGATTTCTAATTCGTGATTCATACCTCGTGATCAGTGTATACTACAATTACCACAAATACTACACTGACTTCCGATTAGTAGGGAAAGCACAAGGCTTGTGTCCTTTTCGGTTGATGGCTGTGCGAGTTTGCTGAGGGGCTGTTTGCAAACTCTCCGAATGTGGCCAGTTTTCCCCCACGCGTGGCACTTGACATTACGGAATCAACCAGTGGAGCGCAGGTGATAAGCTCCACACGACATACACGGGTTGATAGGTTTCTCGTTGCCGAAAAGGTCATGTTGTAGCTTGGANNGAATTGGTTTCTGTTTGTGCTGTTGAAATACGATGACCGATTCATTGGAAGTTGCTTGTATTACCATCGTGCTGTTCATAGATCTTACGTGCCTCTGCGAATATTAGATCCTTCTTTTCTAGCAATTTCCGTTGAAGTGTCAAGTTGTTTATACCTGCCACCAAACGGTCACACAATTGTTCCTCCAGACGATCACCGTAATTTCAACGTCATACCTGCTTATTCAGTTGGAGGATGAAATCGCGACAATTGATATTCTTAGCATGAACAAAAGAATTGAATTTGGCCCGTTCGTATGCCTGAAATTCAGTGGGCAGCAGATGACCTAACAGCAACCCCTCCAATGAATCGTCCGGTAGTTTGTCCGGGGCCTCGATCTCGGATGGACTGGCATGAATGTTCAGTTGTTCAATAGTTGGAGCTCCATCGCGTGACTCCATACCGCTTATCTGTAATGGTTGAAGTACCCACAGATCGTGGATTACGAAACCACGTATTAGGAATCACGGGTGCCATGAAAGTATTGAATCACACTGACACTTACCCGACGGTATCCCACATAACCGAGACGCAAGGAAAAGGTCTCCGGAGGAACAGTTAGTTTATTGGAAGAAATCAGGAGGGTTAAATAATGTGTACAAAAGAAGTTCAATGGTTATCCAGGCATCCACCAATTGCGTGCTCGTATTCCTGGCGTCGTACAGCCTCTGCCTAGGTCGCAAGGCTTCTGATTGGTCGGTACAATCAGTCTATGGTTCGTTGTCCAGAAGCTGTAACGCGTAGGCGCTTTGCTGGCGTCATCTGGGAATCTTGACTCATCACAGTTGTGCAGAAGCTGTAATGTGTCGCCCCGAGGTTTGCGTCATCCCGTAAGCTAGGATCACCACAGAAACCCCTTTCAGTTACGGTTCTAAACAATTTCGCTACAGTCAGAGATGATTGCATTTGTCCCAACCAAAGCGATTTCTGCCCGAGGAGAAGTTATTTGGATCAGGTTTCTATCTATGCAAGATTTTGGAGCACCGTTACAAGTTCCAGTGGTTAACCTCAAAATGCTTTGACGATTTTCGGGTGATATTCGACTTGGCAAACAGGGAAACCTTATGGGCAAATTTGGAAACAGATGGTATGCCAGGAAAATTATCGAATCCTATGAAGTCGCAGTACTACAACACTCTGTCACTAGTAAGTGTATATTAAGAATCGGGGCCAGAGATAACCTTGAAATCTGAAGTATTCCAGAACTACCTTTCATCATGAATCCAAAAAAACTACATCTGGTAAACCGAATTATCCAACGTGCCATGACTGAATGAGTTCCTCGGAGTGTAAATTGGTGTCAACACGTGGATCGCCAACCTGGAATTCGTGGACTATGCAGTGGTTCTCGGTAAGCGAACTATCGTTGTTCGGTCTGTCCTCGACCGCATCAGCTTCCTTTTCAACGCTATCGGAATGTAATTCAGTCACTCAAAAACGAAATTAGATAACGACTAATTGGCCTGATTGGAAATCCGGTCCAAGTACTGTTGATAAAATAACACAAATTGGTTCTCGTAGGTCTGTTCAGATGAATTCATTTTGTCTGTTTCTTGAACTGTACACTTTAGTTTCATTTTCAGTTTGTACAAACGTTAACCATGCACTTTTGTGCGCCGGTTTTGGTTGCTGTCTTTGGCTGCCCATTTGGATGAACAGTAGGAGAAAAACAGAAGGGCCGAAAGTAGGGTCGAAAAGAAAATGGGGAATTTCAGTTGACTAAGGTTGCAAAGAAAGTGAGAAGATGCACGAACGCCACTGTTTGCGACACAGCCATATCACTCAGTGTTTCTAACCATCGGTTACCATCATTCCGAAGTCCCCAGCCAGGCAGCCTGACGGGTCTTATGTGGCCGAGTCTCTTGGTTAGGGTTTTCATACCATCCTGGTAGATCTTGGTTTGACTGCCCTTGGCTTTATTCCACCCACTGTCTACCTCGGCAAAAATCGCTTCCGTAGCAGCCTATTTGGTGACGTGCGTAACACGTACCAACATACGTAATCTATGGAGATCGGTCACTTGATCCAGTGGGTGACCGCGGTTACCTAAAGTTCTGCTCCTAACCTCTGCATTACTCTTCCGAACACTTAGTCCGTAAATGTTTTTGTACAGACTGAAGGGGCTTCTTTGGTGGCGAGATTCAAGCCCACATTAATTGATATTATATCCAAGTGTTTTGTAGTACACAAATCAGATAAGAGATGGGATAATTCTTTTTATGTTTATGAGGAGTGGAGTAAATGTGAATTCGTAGCACACCGAGACCGATGAGAGCGACAAACTAGAAACATATGGCTGTGTAAATGATTTGTGGAATCAGGAAACCCCCATGAGAAAACTTTAGACAGAATGTCATATAGTGATCCGTGAGTCTCTTGAACCGGTAAGGCAGGTAGTTAAGATCATTATCACATCGGCTCGCTAATCATGTGTCCAAATCCCCCCAGCGCCACCCAATTTTCTCATTTCAGTGTGTTCCTTGTCAGGCTTTGATTGACCGTGCCCAGCCCCCTTCCTGTTAATTCTATGAATAAAAGTAAATAAAAGATTTTTATTACTGTAGTCATTATTGTTAAATCGTTCTCTCTAATTGGTATATCCTTGTTTCAATATCTGGGGTACAGTGCCTAATATATGAACACTGGAGGTAAGATTTGTGTCCTAAACGTTATGTTCAAACACTCACATGCCCCTCAGTACCAGCTATGTAATAAAAAAACATTACTTTCTGATTCTTACGGCATCGATCTAATGAACGGATTGAACTTGCACCTCTCTCTCATAATATTTACAGAATCTTTTCAATGGTTGCTTTTCTGGCCCCAGCTTTCTCATTCGTTTCCTTCCTACAGCGTCGTTAGTCGAATATTTTTCTGTCTACCTCGTCATTAATCTGGTAAATTTCATCGCACGTCGGGCATGTTGCACACACAAATAAGCGTGCATGATGAATACCCCCGCACACAACACCCCTCGCCGCAAAGTATACAGTAATCTTGTGTACACAGCACACACTTCTTTCCCCGGGATGAATTCAATTCATTCACCTGATAACAATTTCCGTCTCTCATTTTGCGATCAGCCATACACATGGGTCACTTGAGTCTTAGACTGAACCCAACAGGCTCAACTAGCCACAGTCTTCAGTTCACCGGCGCCAATGCCAAGCTGACCAATACTCGCTACTCAACAATGTCACGTGACTGGTCTTGGACCGACTTTGAATTGTATTGGTCACATCGTTTCCCACTGTTTCTGCGATCTTGATCGCTTGCAGTTGTTGCAATACCTGTGTGAATACACTTTTTTATGCTGTCACAGATAACCCCGGGCTTTGGTTCCAATCAGAGCACTGGAAACTGACACACATCTGTGTGGATATGAGAAACGGTGACAAACGAATTGTCACGAAAACGAAAACCAAAGTTTGGCAGACATTAAGTGAGAAATACTAGCCTTAACGTACAGCGCTACTGCCTCCTAAAGTTGCATTGTTTGCAAAATAGTATGTTCAGAAAGTGGAAGACTGAATAATATACAGCTATGGACCAGGAAACTGAATTCTGAAATTCATCAGACTGATCAGCTAGAAACTCAGTCACAACCCACCGACCCCCCTACACTTTTTGCGGGTAGTCCAGCCCACGTGGAGAACACATTCTCTCGGGCGTAGTCATAACTACATCACTGTAGACACTTTATGAAGGAAAAAGTTTTTCGCGAAGAAATTTCTTTGCTATATGTTGCATCAGACGTTTAGGTAGCGATGTCTGATTGGCCGATTAGAGCTCAATTAGTAACGATGGCAGGGGCCAGCAAACAGAGCAAACGAAGATGACAAGACTAATGATAGTCGTGGGTGGGCCGGGGGGATGAGAACACAAAGGTCAAATGGACAACGTTCGAGAGATGAGCAGAATAAATAAAGGTTGTGAGCTAAGACGAGAGAGTGATGAAGTTACGTAATATACGGTAGAAACTATAGGTCATGCACAGCAAGTGATGTAATCAGGAAGGGACATTAGAGACAAAAACAAGGAAATTAGTTCTTAAGATTGAGAATGGTGATACTATAGGCGAGGAAAGAGGGACGGGGACAGACCAGGGCAACAACAGTGTCTGGATCAGCTTTTTTTGCTTACATAATTCTGGATTGAAAATTCGGATTGCAATCGCCTCGGCCGTGGTTAAAAGCCGCCTTTGGAATATCTCCGGGGTATAGTGTGAATAATTTTGAATGCGTCGAGTTTGTTCACAGAATGCCCACTATCGACCAGATGGCCGAGAACCGAGCTGCGAATACATCTAAACGTTCCTTTGTAGAGGGCCGTAGGACAGCGCTCAGCAATAGTCGCCTGGTTGTATGTCCAATGTATCGCACACTACAAGTGCACGTGAAAAGATATAAAACAAAGGATTTCCTTCATAAAGTGTCTACAGTGATGTAGTTATGACTACGCCCGAGAGAATGTGTTCTCCACGTGGGCTGGACTACCCGCAAAAAGTGTAGGGGGGTCGGTGGGTTGTGACTGAGTTTCTAGCTGATCAGTCTGATGAATTTCAGAATTCAGTTTCCTGGTCCATAGCTGTATATTATTCAGTCTTCCACNCTCGATGCTGGAGTTCGATTCGATTTCAACTTCTCTTGAGACTTTCAAGGATGAACATTTGTGTCAGAGATATTGCCAAAGCGGCTCAAATGATCAATTATTGCGTTAGATGAACAGTCCCTTGTGCCCACATATGAGACCTACTGTGATTCGTTGAAAATTTACGGTCCATAACTGAATAAAATATCTTGATATGGATTCCGGTGGCAAATTGACATGATAACCCTGCATAGCGAACCGAATTCCCTCAGTCGCTTTTACGTTTGGAATCGCAAANACTGAGAGGTGTTTTAATTTTATCACGCTCGTTCGCGATAGCGTTAATCGCGGATTGTGATCGCGTGTGTTCGCTTCACACGAGAATACCAATACTTGTGATGCGTTTGTTCGCGTAATAGTGTCAGACGAAATGAAAAAAGAACATTTTAATTAGTTAAACTTGCTGACCATGTCATTTATAATCGTAGACGCTACGCACTCATTTCATGTACAAATCACGTCAAACTTCTTACATTGGCCTGACGTGCACGGGTGACAATTATGGACCGGATTCCATTTCACCGCCTCTCTTGCATGACTGGGCGAGTTACACATGATGCAATCTGTAGACTGAAACACGCCTAAACCGTCTGACTGCCCGACTTCTCTCTCTCTCTCGAGTGTCGAGTTTGATCCGTGGCATTTGAGTTCGTTCACTCCGGATCACGTGACCAGCAAGTGACGTCCAAAAAACTAGTTGAATGAGAATAATGGCTGATTTATGTAGTCTATTGTTAGTTTAAATATCACA